GATGAGTTTCTGGGTTGTTGTGGGAGGATCCTTTATTAGAGGATTACTAACATTTCTAAATACAAATCGGCTTGTTATAAATCAACGAGCCTTCAATAGTGACACACTCTCGTTCTAATCATCCATCTGACGTGCAGCTGTAAACGTTCTGAAATAGATTTTGTTTCAGGTGCTCTTTCCAGAAGGTCAAGTCAAGTATCTGTATTGTCATTGTCTCAGGTTTGCAGGAAGAACTGAAAACAATATGCAGACAAACAGAAGTGAAAATGGAAAAAGGTGTTTATCAAATGAAAAAAAACTTACAAAACAAGGATCCAAAAAACCAGGTAGGAACAACAAAACAGAAAATCAGAAAACACAGGAGCACGACTGGAAACTGGTGAAACAGGGAGACAACAGCAGAGAAACAGACTGACAAAGACAAAGGGGAAGACAGAGACTTAAGTACACAAGAGGCAGGGGTAACAGAACACAGCTGGAACACATTAGGGCGAGGCAGACAATTAACCAGGAAGGACACGTGAGACAAAGACAGGAAGTAAACACACATGAGACACACAAGGGAAGAGGTTACAAAATAAAACAGGAAATAAATTAAATCCAAAACAATCAAACATAAAGTGTCCAAAAGAGACCAAATATTTAATCCAAAAACAAACAAAAAAGAGTCCAACAAACTCCAAAAGTGTCTTCTGTTAAAAACAACGAGACAAGGAAGCAACTCTCTGAGCATCTAGTACAAAAGAACAGCCACAGCCAGTTAGCTTAGCTTAGCATAAAGACTGGAAACAGGTGGAAAGAGGTAGCATGGCTCAGCCCAAAGGCAACTAAAACCAGCTAGACAGATTTTATTTAACCACGCTGGCTGTTTCCTCTGTGTCGAGTCTTTAGCTAAACATCACCCGGGAGTATCTTCACATTTAGGGGACAGATAAGAGCGTAGTGTTTGTAACACTTAACACTTTGATCAATTATCTTTTACAAATTGAATCTGCTTCAGACTACATACAACATGTCTTCTGCATCAGCTCGTTGCTTCATTGAGAATATGTGACCCCAATCTCCCAGTGAAATATTCACGTTGAAGAAGCAGCCTGACAATAAACATCTTGTACATCTTTTCTTTTTAAACGTTTTCCAATTTACTCTTGTACAACAAACAATATTTGGAATCAGGATGCTGGAAATTAAAAAAACAAAACAAAGCCAGAGCAACATGAGTTGTGTGGGGGATGAATTATTGAATGTTTGAACAATGTTTTCTCCACTGCTACACATCCTCAGACGTTTGTCAGTGTCGGAGGTTTTAAGAGAAATGGAGCGTAGCCATTGTCATGGGGACTGTCACAAAGCGTCTCTGCCCTGTTTGAAGCTGAGAGCACGTCTAAGTGTCGCTCTCACCGTACGAGCCGAAACACTACGGCCACAAACCGACTGCAGCAAAACATCATTCAATATTGATCATTAGCAGATAAAAAGCTATTGCGCCTCATCCAGCTTTTATTATTCATGAGCATCCTTTACTCATGATACGTGGGCCGACCTCAGGACACCTAACGGCTCATAGTGTGGCGCAGTTCGGTGAAACAGGCGGCTGAAGATGAACATCAGCAGCGGAGGACGCAGCTCAAGACTTCAGTTCATTAACTGGAAAGTTGAACTATCTGTATTGTTAACGAGGAACTCCGCTGGTGGCTGTGACAACAGTCGTGATAACGACCTCTGTTGCTCTGCAGGAGGTTTGTCAAGTCTGGAAAAACCACCCCCGATGATGTCGTAATGATGTCATCAGGAATGTGTGAGAGATATAAATAAAGTTTGATTGCACAGTTGAATGAAGAAATCTGCTGTACTGATTTCTTTTTTTCAAGTTGTCACTTACAAGGTTTTCAAGTTTATTGAACTGCAAGACTAAACTGTTGAATGGACCCTTTAAAGGCGTGTGCATGATGCTCTTCATGTGTAATGAATCATGTATTTTCATCCCGCCTCTTGTTTTAATGTGTGTTTGTGCTCATATCTGGAAAAGAGTTCAAGTAAATCAAACAAAACTGAAAATAATCTAAGTCCAGTCCAAAAAACTAGTAACATGTGATACTAAGATAGAAATGTGTTGTATTCTGGAGCGTCTTCTACTCACAGTATCATCTTGACCAGGATCGCCTCCTGAGTTGTATGATTTTCATTCTTCTATCGCCATCTAGTGGAGTGAAATTGTAAGTACATGCCCGGCCATGAGGAAGCTGTTAGAACTAAAGGAATGAATGCTTATTAATTATGGTTGTATATACAGTATATATATATATATATATTTTCCAAGCAAATAATGCAAATGCAAATGCACATTTTTTTGAGCATTGAGGTGAAATATTTTATGCTTTATATGTTATAGGCTATGCATGAATATAGGTTATCATAGAATAATTCATTATGTTTGGAAATTATATTCCAAACTAAGAAGACTGCCACGTTATCAGATCAAGGTTATGTTTATGATTCTCATAAAATTAGGAAACTCCAGGACCCCAAACAGTTCTTTAAACTTCATCAAAACCACTTCAGGATTTTCACATTTACATCTTTTTATTGTAAAGGTGGTTTCTTACAAAATAGTCACATGATACAGAGGCAAAGAAATGAAAACAGAAAAGAGTGAAGACGAGAGAAACATCTACAGAAAATCTACAGAGAACTTTGGCGACGATGTTCTTATCAAAACAGAAACAAACTGCGACATGATCAGCTAAGTAATAATAATAAAAAATAAAAAAAAGAGATTTTACCCATCACTGTCATCGTGGCAACACAAGAGAAAAAAAGCGCAATTAAAAAAAAACAAAAAAAAAAACAATACATGGAAGTAACGTGTTTTAACCAAGGCCCCCCAGAAACAGTCTGTATGCTGAGCGGTCCTGCAGATTGAAATGCTGCAGGCTCCATCTGTCGGTGTTTCTCAGGAACCAGCAGACACAGATACAGTCACTGATCTGTTTTAAGACAACATCTACGGCTGACAGCGCATCATGTCCAACCAAAGTGATCATTTGTACACATGCTAAAGTAAGATCGCCCGACAGACTGAGAGCTATCGCAGGTTTAATGCTACATCAGCTGAAACAACAGATAAACAGCAGTACAGTATATAAAGACTAGTTTTAACAGTATAAAACATCTCCATTTAAATGTATCTGTTTATTAGGGAAAGTGTTTTTTAGTAATTACATAGTAGTGTTGGTTAGATAGTAGGTATACAGTACATCCATAAGACTTTAGAGACATGAGCATCTATGTCTTGCAAAAAAAAAAAAAAAAAAGAAAAGAAAAGAAAAGAAAAAGAAAATCCTCCAACTTCAGTTTGGTTTAGTTTCATTGAGTGACAGTTCATTCTGACTTCAAGTATTTAAAACCAGGGGTAAAAGTTTGACTTCCTGCGGATATATCACACTTTTCCAACAACTTCTTGCCACGATTAACGATTTTTAACAACAAAACTGCAGAAAACGAATCAGAAAGGATTGTTTTTATTCAAATTTTCTGATGTCAGCTTGCGGACTAGCAAGTCCTGTTAGAGGCAAACTATATTTAAGGTGGAAAAAAATGCTATTCAGAATCATCTGATCCTTCGATTTTCAGCATGTTTAAATGTTATCAGCTTTAATATCTGAGAGGGTTCTGCACTCAGTGCTCCACCTACTGAACGCTGCTCTGATTTGTGAATGGAGCTGCTGGTGTGGTGGTGTCAGGGTGAGTGGTGATGATACTTTAAATACATTTCGCCAATAATACTTTTTCACCGCGGGACTTCTACTTGTAATCGAGGTCATTTTATATTGCAGCATTGCTATTTTTACTTATATAAAGGATATTAATGAACATTATGTCCTTTTCATTGCCTCTTTTCTTCTCCCTGTAGCTCGTCACTGTCACCATTGTCCTGTTTTATTTTTTCTCCCAGCGTAATGTTTAATGACGCGTGTTTGTTTCATTTTTGTCGCGTGTGCCTGCTCGCTTGTTACCGGTGTTTTAACAGTACTCATCCGTTTCAGTCTTCACCACGAACAACAGCGAGGAAAAGGGGAAACGTGTTCCTCGAGTCTGACCTTAACCTTAATGGTGTTTCTCCCCGGCGGTCGGTGCCGGTTTAAGGATGTGTTTTCTGATTTAAAGTCAGGGAACAAACACCGCAGATGACACTTAAGATTGCAACATGATTTCCTGCGGTCCTGCTAACATGCACAATGGTACGCCGTTTTCAGGCAGGTATGTTGTAAGTCCCCCCCCCCCCCCCTGCACAGAGGTGGGTGTATGTGAACACGCACCGGTACACCTCTGGGAGCCTCCATCTTGCCTCCCACCCGATTAAGACAGCTGAAACATCTGCACAGTTTTCATTTACAGATTATTCAGCCTCTCTCACACAGCAGGCTGCCGTTTCTGCATGAATGTGAAAGAACCGCTGAAACGAACACGCCGATCCTGTTTTATTACGGCAATAACGGCTTTTCAAGGTACGGCACTGACATGCTATCATTAATGGTGTTTTGGAGAAAGCATCTTACAGGTTTCTGCGAGTATTCATCTCAGAAAACAGGAGCAGATCCTGACGAGAATTCCCAGGAAATATCGGGATTCAACCTTATTTCCTGCTGCAGGAGCCAGAAGGAAAAGTTTCAATGGGAAAAATACAAATTCCTGTAAAGATTTTTTTTTTTTTTTTTTTTTGCAGGACACAGATATGACTCTCTAATACTTCCATTGTGGTCTAAAGTAAAAGTCAGCCCTGTTCACTACATGTCTACAATGGCTTCACTAAACAGCGCATCATCTTCTTCTCTTTCTTTCCCTCCCTTCTTCTCCTCTTCCCCCCTACTTGCCCAGACGCTTGCTTTTTCCTCCTTATCAAACCCATCATCTCACCCTCGCCTCACCTCCCTGCACACAAAAAAAAATCAACCCCCCACCCCCCAGATCATCTTTATCAAATAATCCCATATTTTCATTTCTCAGCTCCCCTCCCCTCCCTCCTCTGTAGCTCAGTAGTGCCCCCTAGCAAGGATGAACGTTACAGGCACGGATCTCCTTCCGGTCCTTACAGCCGGCAGCCAGAGCGCCCTTTGCTCTTTTCTTCACCATCATGAAACGCTCCTGGATCCCCCCTCCGCACGGTTTGGTACAGTCCGTCCAGCTGCTCCACGGCTGCATCCTGCAACCTGCTGGAACAGACGAAGAGACGGCAGCGTCTCAGCGGAGGCCTCATACAGCTGATGTGCTAATAATGACAATCTCACAGATTATAACCACCAACCTGGTTGTTCCTCCAGCGCTGCGTCTCTACCTTGTTTACCCCGCCTCCTCCTCTTCCCACCACCTCCACCTCCCCCTCCCCCTCTCTCCTCCTTCGTTTTCGTCCGGCACTTCCTGATCTTGCATTTCTTCCTCTGGATGGTCTCGGGACAAGTGCTGCCTCCGAACTGCGGCTCCAGCTTGACCATGCGGGTTCGGATGGTGTGTCCTTTACCGCAGGACTTGTTGCACTCTGACCACTCCGACCACTCAGAGACCATGCAGTCGACAGCTGGGTGGAGGGAGAAGGAAGGAAGGAAGGAAGGAAGGAAGGAAGGAAGGAAGGAAGGAAGGAAGGAAGGAAGGAAGGAAGGAGCAGTAAAGAAAAAAGGAAAATGGTGAAAAAACAGAGAGAAATGGCATATTTTTTCTGCTGGCCAATAAACTTGATGTGTATCACTGATTTCAGTTTGTGCGTTTCAGTAGTTATTTAAGTCCACACTGACTTTTCTTTGGCGCTTCGCTCTAAGTGGTTTTCCATTTTACTGAAAGCTCAGATGAACTGAGATCGACTCTTTGAGGGCGAACGGAGCAGGTGAATGCTGATGTTCACTCATCTTACCTACAGAGCAATGTAATCTTTTTATTGTATCCTCCGCAAAAATGTGCAGTGGAAGTTCAAGTGGCGTTCAAGTGTGAGAAAACAGAACATTGTACGATTTTATATATATATTTGAAACTAACCTCTTCAGTTATTTAAATGTCATTAAATTATAATTCTCAACAGTCAGACGTGATCAAAGGTCAGTGTTTACTGCTTTCAATCCTCTGCTCCTCTCACACCCCTCGATTTGCTACCCAGCCACTAAATCAAAAAAACAATATATTCAATACATCAACTGCTGAATCAAAATGAAAACACAAATCATATCTCAGGAAAAAAAGCACTTATCAGAGCATGTAGAGCGACCTGCAGATGACTGGACAGGTTGTAAATTAAAATTAAAACTCCAGAAATGCTCACTTCTGTCATTAGGCATGTACAGTGTATGGTAGATACTAGAAAAAATAAAATAATAATAATAATAATAATAAAAATACTTGAAAGAAAGAAGAACCTTTACAGAATCAAACTGATATTTCTTAATCATAATTAAGACTGTTTTGCCATAGTACTGTTTCGATACTGTGGTAAAATAAAGTCATTGCACAGAACAAGAAGACTGATCATCTGAAATGTTACCGAAGAAGTTACGAGTGATGGTCAAAACTATTACCATCAGATCCAGGCAGTAAAAACAGAATTCGCCTTTAACAGACAGACAGTAAAGTTTTGTACTGGAGTCACTTACGGCACTCGGGCAGCATGCACTTCTCCGTCTGCTCCAGCTCCTCGCTGCACTCTGCAGGATCAGACTTCAGCATCCTCTGACGTGTTCGCACTCCACGCCCACACGTCACACTGCACTCGCTCCAGTCCGACCACGGGGACAGCATGCACGGGATGGTATCTGCAGACATACACACACACACACACACACACACAAGCACGAGTTTACAAATATGTGAACAACAGATCATATAAATAATTTAATAAATAAATAAATAATTGTCAACTCACGGCATTCGGGCATCATGCATTTCTCCACTTCAGCCACCTCAGTTTTACACATTGATCCGTCTATAGGAGGCATCTTCACCATGCGCTCACGTCTCCTCATGCCCATCCCACAGGTGACGCTGCAGGGGTCCCACTCCCCCCACTCAGTCACCACACAGCTGCTGGGCGCTGTGGGAGAGTCAGTGTGTCAGTTAATGCAAAAGGATCCGGTTTGACCGTCAACGTCGAGCTCGTTGTCAGATTTTTAGAGACTGATCCACAACATCATCATCTGTCATTTTCCTTTTTACATCACAGAGTTTCTGATATCAAAAGACTCTTTTTTTTAAACATATGAACTCTCAAACAGAACAGAGCAAATATCACAGATCAGATTTCACAGCAATCATTTCACTGAAAACCACAAATGTCAGCGTCACAGTGGCAATAGAGGAAAGGTCAGTGGGGTCACCAAGGTCAACAGGAGTCCTCATGAATATCTGTACAGAATTTCAAATAACACACTACAGGAATGAATGGCAATCCATCACAACAACAACAGCTGGTGAGACATTTCTGTCTGGACCAAAGAGGCGACTGACTGACTGACTGACTGACTGACTGACTGACTGACTGACTGACTGACTGACTGACTGACTACCTACCTACTATCACCTATGACATCTGGCTCTAGTGGAAATATGGCCAGGTGAGAACACAGGAAAATATAGTTTGAATTCTATTCTGAATAAAATATCAATTTTTATTAACATATATTTACGTTAACATGGTAAAGTTTGTAAATTTTCACACTTAGTTCTAAATCTTCTAATAGCTTCTGGACCAAAAGGCTCCAGATGAAGTGAAGCTTCAATAATGTAGTTAAGAATAAATAAATAAAAATAAAAATACGCCTGTAGAGGTAAACACAACTCACATATGGAACTAGAGTCATTAGACAGTTTGTTGATCCATTACACTCTATTTAACAAAATGTGTGCGTCTTTGATTGGTTGACCTTTTTAATTTTAATTTCTTAACAACAACAAAAACAAACAAAAAAAAAAAACCCCACAGGTTCACAGCTGTCCAGCGTTAACAAGGACTCACAGCATTCATCGTTGACGACACACTTCTCGGTCTCCTCGGTGTGGAGCTGGCAGAGCGAGCCGTCCTCGGGATACTGTTTGACGTATCGCTCTCTGGACCTCATGCCCATCCCACAGGACACACTGCAGGCCGACCAACTGATCCACTCCGACATCATGCACGTCGAAGGTTCTGTCCACCAAGGAGGGGGGGGAGAATAAAAATAGAACAACATCTCCTTAGCAACAGTTAAAATTAGAAGAACATCTTGACATTTTTATATTTCATTTTTTTTTTCCCATTTCATTTATTATTAGGAAAACTTCTGTGGTTTGTTTTTTCATAATTTGCAGGTGCAGAGGCTTTGCTGCCATTCCTCATTACAACCAACACAAAAAAGTAGATCCACTGCTGGAGGAGAGCATTTATTTCAATGAGTAATACCAACAAGCTAGCTTTGGTCAAATAATAATAATTCCAGCTGCCGCTGCAAAAAAAAAAAGTTCTGTATCAGGTTCCCTGTGAAATAAGTCAACACACCAGGACTCTACGTGACCCGGTGCTCTCGAACGCACAGAGTTAAGTGTCTAAAAATTGAACTTTCACTTCAGCCAAAGTCAGTTTTGACGGACATCACATCAAGGATCATGGATTCATAAACAGATTGATTTGTTATTTTTTGTTTTTTTTACTATTTCAAATGGGTAAAATCTTATTTCGTCGTTTCCCCCCGTCCCTTTTACGTCTCTCTGATGTTTGATGTGAACATGAGCTGAAGCTCCTGACCTGTATCTGTATGTTTTTTTAATGCTACCGTGGCTGATCGCATGAATAAGCAGGTGTACAGGTTCCTGATGAAGTGTGGGAGGAAACCCATGTGAGGAAATGGAGGAAAACGTTCAAACTCCTAATCAGGCTGAACGGCTACAGCTTTAAATCTTCAGTCTGTTGCTCTCCCAGCTGTTTCGGCTTCAGAGTCGAGCAGCAATACTTGTCGGGAAATATGTGAACCCCCAGTCCTCCGGTTACAAGACACTCTCCCCTCAAACTAAACTGGGATTCTCTCAAACGGCTGCTTGGATTTCAGTCTGTTCAGTCATCTCAAAGTGGAAGGTGCCATTTTCAAAAAGCTCTTCCTCGGAGAGAAAAGCTGCTTCCACTCTGTTTTAATAAGTCAAGTTGCCTGAGGGACAGTCCTATTCACAGCTGCGGCCTGAGGGAGTGAAAGTCAATATGAATGATCCCGGCCTGTATCAGCTGAAAACTGCAGCGTCTCTGGCTTAACAAGGTCCACTCTGGTGTGTTTTATCACTATTAACCAGCATGGCAGTTCAAGATCCCGCTATTCTTCACTTACAGCGCGTCTCTGCACGAATCTGACTTCCCTTCACTGTCGTCTCCCTGAAACACGTCTTCTGACAGCGGTCCTGGTGCGGATAGTTTATTAAAAGTGATAAAATAGTCTGTCAAGAAGAGACGATTATATGAGAACAGACTTTGTAAATATGATTTTCTAAAAAATGATGAATGAACTTTAAGCAACTTAGCATGGACTTTTCTTTGACTCACATCACCTGACTCTCGTACGTTCCAGCGACCTGAGAACGGCACTGCTTACTGGCCGTGGCCTAATAAAGCAGAGCTAAGTGAATCATTAATAAAAGATACAGGTATCTCTGGATCGGTTGAGGCCCCCAGAGAACCAAAGTGTTTCCAGGGAATATTAATCACCCTTGGCTTCGGCCCCGGTCCAGCCTCAGCATGAACCTCGCAATTATCAATCTCCCACCGCACACTAACGGAGCGCTAAATGAAAACAAAGGAGAGGTGCTTAGGAACAAAAAGCTATCTGTGTTGCTGTCTGATAATCGATAAGAGGAGCGCCGAATGGTGCCAGTGTGTGTGTGTGTGTGTGTGTGTGTGTGTGTGTGTGTGTGTGTGTGTGTGTGTGTGTGTGCGTGAAGCTCCTTTGGCCTTGAACAGCCTGAGCTTCACTTGTCTGATGACTGGTAGACGTCCTGGGAGCGAGGGGAGGAAGAGTGAGGAGGGAGAAGACAGACGCCGACTGTGCTGCCTCTCAGCATTTGTTCCAAACTGACAACTTCACTGGGAATTGGACAAAAGCAAAGCTCAGGGGGGGGGCTGTGTGTGTGTGTGTGTGTGCTTATGTATGTGTTTGTTGCAGGATGGGAGGGTTGTTACTTGCAGTAAAAGAGCAACAAATTGACAACTCTGATAGAAATGAGAGAGAGAGAAGTTTGCCCTTTGCCAAAAAAACAGAGAGAAACAGGAAGAAGTCAGTGCCAATTTCCCTAAAAGACATCTGTCATCAGCTTTGATGCTTGGATTACCATGAACCGCGAACATGTTTGTGTCTTTGCATCTACACGTCTCTGAGTCCCAATTAGGATCCTTTACACACACAATCCTCCTGTTGTTCCTATTATCTTTAACACAACAATGAGAGCCCGGTGCGTTGATTTCTTTTAGTCAAAGATAAACACAGTCAAATCCCGGTGTAAGAATCCTGGATGCAGGAGGCCGCTCAGCATTAACGGCTAATCCACATAATCTTTTATGTTTCACTGAAGTAATTAGGGTATCCAATCACCAATGTTTACTCTGTGTAATTAGGGATTAACTGTGTTTTCTGACATACTCTGTTGATGTAACCATATCAACTTCAGATATGTGTGGGCGTCACCGTCTTTTACAGCCGGCAGCTGTTTTCACAATCAGATGCTGGTTTCCACAGTCTAATCACAGAGTTGCCACTTGTTTCCTTCCGTTTCACCTGTTCCTTTACACACACAGCGGCCTAATCCTTCACAACAATGACCCCATTTGTCATCGAATAGCTGCACAATTAAATTTCGGGGTAAAATAACACCACTAGGCTGTGAAATATAAATGAGGTAGCAGCTTTGTGTTTTCACCAAAGATTCCATCGGTTTAAGCCAAAATGAACCACCCACAGACACTGAGTCTAAATTAGCATGAGATAAACACCTAAGATATAATCTGCTTATTATTTTGAGGGTTGACTGATCACCCACCCCCTGTTGATAGGACACAAACGCCTCAAACATGAAAACTCTGAAAGGATTTTGTGTAATGAGAAAGGTAAAATCCCTTGAGGAACATAGGCTAATGTCAACATGCTAACGTTCATTCCCAACATACGCGCTTTAACAATGTTAGCATGGTTAGCATGTTCACCATGTTCACCCTCTCAAGTTTAGCATGTTGCTGAACTGCGGTAAGGGTTAGGGGGTGTTTCCAAAATGCTTTGCAGTATTTCGGAAACATCTCTGCTGTTGTCGACAGCAGCCGGGAGGCACTTCGGTAGCTGCTGGATTAACACTTAACATTTACTTCTAACAAATGACATGCTCCAGGTTTTCGTGAGTGTTAATGCTCTTTAGTGAGATAAGGCTTCTCTCTTTGGCCCCGTTCAAACGAATTAAAGACCTGTTACTTTAAATGTGATGAGGGGAAGAGCGAATTATCTGCATTTGCACTTTGGTGATGCGACTGGAAATGCTTCCACACGACCAAATAAATGTTATTTATTGAAGGGAAACTGGCTGAGAATGCTTGTTCTTTTCCAAATGCTCCATTATTCATCTAGGCTATATGTGATACTATAAATGAACCTCTTCTCAGTACAATCACAGATAACCACTGAAGGAATACACTAATCACTGTCTGAACCTTTATTTATCCAGTAAGTGCAGGGATTGGAAAGTTGTGATCTTCTAGATTCCAACCTAATAACAGTATATTAGTGTGTGTGTGTGTGTGTGTGTGTGTGTGTGTGTGTGTGTGTGTGTGTGTGTATGTGTGTGTTTACCCTCCATACTGCATCCTGGGCCCATGCAGGGCTGGAAATCCTGAGTGTGGGGACACGGCACACTGAGGTCCAGCTGGGCCTTCAGCATCCTCTGCCTCATCCTGCGGCCTTTTTCACATGTAGCGCTGCTGCACGCCGACCACGGAGACCAGCCTGAGTAGATACATGTCTCCGGTGTGTCGTCTGAGAGAGGAAAAACAGAGGGGTGGTATGTGGGTGAAGGACTGTTAGCGGTTGAATTTGCTTTTACAAAACTTACTTTTCTATTTAATTTCGCTAAAGCAGTGGAACTAATTTGTCAAACGGAGCAGGAGGGGTGAGGGATGGGGGACTAGGCTAACGTTGATTATCCAACATCGTGCCCAAAGGTTATTACCGCAGGTAGAGTACCACATGTGGCCACAGAGTGACATCTGAGGGGGAGAGGTAGGAGCGGAGGGACAGAGTCGGAGGGAATGAGAAGAGTGTGATTTGTGAATGTCTTGTCCAATTATCAGTGGAAGCACAACTACAAGAAGTATCAGGGGTACAGGCTTCAATTAATAATGCTCTCTCGGGAGTTCAGAGAGGCAGAGAAAATGAGAAGAGGGGAGGGGAGAGCAGAGCAGAGAAAGAATATACAATCAGGCCTCAGGGAGGAACCTGAGCGGGTCCAATTCTCTGGGATAACATGTAATGACAGAGGAGGAGAATGAGGGAAGAAAAGAACCTGGAGAAGCAGAGACGGAGGTAAGAGGAGCGATGGGTTGATGTGTAAATGGAAGCAGTGGCGCTCGGGGTGTGTGAGCTCACACAGCGAGGAGGGAGAAGGAGAGGACAAGTGGAGTTAAGGGAGGAGGGAAAGAAGCAAATGTTCATGACTGACTGAAGAAGACATTTATTAGGCGGCAGGAGATCCTTGTTAAGAATTCTGCTGCATGGGCAGAAAACCCTGCAACCTATCCAAGGCCACTTACAGTAAAAAAAAAAGAGGCACAAAGCACCCATGTACAACACTGTCTGTCCGTTTAGCCTGTCCAACTCAGGCCACAGCGCTGATCCCTGCAAGGGCTGCGTTACACCAGACAATAACCAGTTTGTGCAACATGTGACATCAAAAAGTATTTATACCTGATCCGATCGTCCACACACAGAGAGCTGGGCGTCGTTCAAGCATGAGGACAAACATTTTCAGGCAGTCAGAGTGTTACACTCAGTTAATAACATTAAAAGTGACAGAAATGTTTGTGTCAAGCTGGAGCCAAGAGGCAGGTAGCTTAGCTTAGCTTAGCTTAGCATAAAGACTGGAAACGGTGAAGTGACGAGCCAGGTTCTGTCCAAAGGTTAAAAAAACCCCCCAAAAAACACCTACCAAACACGCTGGTTAGTGCAGTGGCTGGTTGTAGTGAGTTCCTGGAGTCACTGCAGGAAGTCACTGCACTCAGCCAAGAAATAATTACGGCATTTTAATTAGTGGGAATTAGAGGTATTGGCATATTTTTGAACGTCAATGCCCAGGCTTGTTCTTTCTGTCTTCATGCAAAGCTACTCGCCTGCTGGTTCTAGTTACACATGAGATTGGTGTTGATATTATCTTCTCACTCAGCAATAAAGAGAATAAAAATACCTTCCAAAAATGTCAAACTACATCTTTAACTAAGTGCTTTGAATTTCCTGAACATAGCCATGAAATCATGCCTTAGTTTCCAGGTGTGGATATTGTGGGGAAATGAATGAAATACAATTGACAGAGAGAACATTTTCCAGAGAGGGTTACAAACAACTTCAATCTTTAACATTTCTGCAAGAAAAAAAAACAGAGAAAATTGAGATAGAAAGAGAAAACTAGTGGCCACGAAGAGATTTCATGTGCAGTACTTGTTGTCCAGAGTGACAGGCCCGGAGGTGCATCACAGAATATAAAGTACGTTTGATAAGGACGGGACTTGCTCCAGACGCAGTTGTGTTGCTCTGCAGCAGCGGGGCGCCCACCTTCTCTCAGCAGGCTGATGACAAGGCCTTGCCAGATGTGTATTCTGACTATCTGACCTCTCATCTGAGACTCAACTTAAACCAGCTGTGTCTTTAATGAGTTTAGTGTGTGTCCTTGAGCATCATTGGGCGCTGAATCCCTCCAGTCCACGAGCGACATGACTTGACAGTTTAAGTGAATGTTTAGCAAACACAGTGAACTGAGGAGCAAGTTCAAAGAACATGAAGGAATGCAATATCAGGTAATGACAGGGGTTGAATAATTAGTTAAACACTGCATCGAGCCCTGTAAGTTAATCTGTTGTATCGTGGTTGGACTCTTTCCCTGAAGGACTGTAATCAGGAAAGGATGACGTGGTTGTGTGTGTGTGTGTGTGTGTGTGTGTGTGTGTGTGTGTGTGTGTGTGTGTGTGTGTGTGAACTCTACCTTCCTCTTTCTCTTCTTGTCCAATATCGGCTACAATGTCATCTATGGTGTCTGGGACCACATTACATTGCTCTCCCTGTGCACACACAAAAGAAAACTGTTGTTACACACTAACATTCACTAACACACACACACACAAAAAAGTGTCCAAAGGCTTCTTACAAGATGAAGCAATCTTTGAGGGCGAGACTTCATTTTTGACCTTGAAAATTGTTGTTTGTCCTAAAAAAAAACAACCCAAACTAAAATTCAAAAAATGTTGTCAAGGTCCAGTTACTAGCTTTTTCTGGATCTTTCAACCAAATCACACAGTCTTCATTAGCAGAATAACAAAACCTTTACAACCCTTTTGAACCGAGCACCTAGCGCAGTGGCTGTTTTTTAAATTAGCAGCAGTGGATAAGGACACGCTGTAAATGCATTTACATTGCATTATTATTTACACTCTTGCATGGTAAATATTTTACCTTCCTGGCGATGCGTTCCACCACCAACCTGGCCACAGGGGTAATTGCCCCTCCCTCGGGGTCATAGAATGGGCTCTGGGGGTGGTCCAAACTGGTCAGGGGTCGGATCTTCTCCTGAGGGATGGTAGGCTTGTTGGGTGACTGAAAGAGGGTGAAACAATTGGGTAAGTGAGCAAAAATATGACCACAGCAATAGAAATGATGATGTGTAACCTGTAACCTGACCTCCGTGAAGCCTTTTAGCATCTTTCAGCTTGTTGTTTTGGTTTCGTGGCCCCCGACTTCACTGTTTTGGTTCAGTTTCACTGTTTGCTAACACAGTTGTCTGACAGTTTTATGTCTCTGCTGTGTTTACAACTAGTTGCATTGCCCCCAGGTAGCCAGAAAAGTCAATTAAAGCAGCTTTAAGTGTCTTACACATAAAAGAGCTGATGCCTCTGGAACATTTTTATCCCAGAGTAACCTTTCTGGAAATCAATAATATTTCTGAGCAAAGTGGGACATCAGGTGGACATGAATTTAACACCCAGCAGAAGGCACCCCTGCTGTACTGAACATCAAATCAGAATTTTATTTTTTTTTTGCACTACAAGGGCCTTTAAGTTTTCACAGTCGTCTCCCCGGGTGGATGTCTCTAAGTTGTGAATGTGAATATAAAGGTGAATTAGTTCTGACGGCTCTTTAACAATCAGGGGAAATGTTCCTGAGCAAATAAGACGCTACAGGTGAAGATCGGTTCATGATTGGAAGGGGAATTATTCCCACCCTCCCACGGTTGGTTGGTGTCCTCCAGGAAAACATCTGCTCTTGAATATCGGAGAGGACACAGATAGGCCTGCAAAGGATCAGATATGGCCACTGGCCTTTAGTTGTGCCAGGCTTGCTAACAAAACAGAGACAGTATGCTTTCATTAGAGCAGCAGTTATTCTTCAGTCTAATGCTTTAATAATGCCATACTAAAACCAACAACCTCATCATGCTCATAATTTCTGTGTCTTATGATGCAAAATGATTCCGATTTAAAAAGCGTCCTATCGGCGCCAATGAATCGTCCAAACAGACTAATTGGTCGACCTCTAATACTGGGTATCAAATACGCCTGAGGGAAGAGAGTTTGAGTCCTCCACTGAGGAATCGTTAGAATAATCAAAGTTAAACAGCCAAAATTTAGGGCATGGGAATTATTGGTGGGACGCAGAATACTAATCCAATCTAGCAGCATATAGTGCATGCATGTCTGTGAAACAGGCTTCTAAAACAAGAACAACATAATTTCTCTTGAGACAAGGGCCAGTAGAGCAGCAGCAATTCAAAGCAGAATTTAAAAAAAAAAAAAAAAAATTACATTTCTACAATAGCTGCACCAGTTTTATTCTCCTTTCTGACCGACACCGGTTGGGGAGGTGGGTACCTGTCATGGGCCCTGAAAGAGGCATCTAAAGTGGCTGTGTCTCTCATCAGCCATCCGGTCCAGAGCCTCTTCTCTGTTTGATCTCAATATGCATTATTTATATCCGTTTAAACTCCCCTTTAATTAGATATTCATGACACTGTTTCTAGGTGTGTGTGATATCATGAGTTTCTACATATTGATAGAGCTTTAAAAAAAAAAAGAAAAAGACAGAAACTCTAGAGAGTAAGCCAGAAAAATGTGACAAAAATGAATCATTCTCTTTCTTCTCTCAGGTTGAATCAACTTTGCTGTTAAAAGTTTTAAAGAAACTTTTGATTTAACACATGCAGCAGTTCTGAATAAGACAAAAGGAAGACATCTATTAAGGGAGTGTGAATATGAAGTTATATGCTCATCTACAGTGCCGTATTCTCTTTGTAGTTTGCAGGTTTGCTTAAAGTTTTCTTCTCCGACTCTGTGGTTGAAAAGATCTTGTGTGAATCCAAACAGAAGACATCCTTTACTTTTTGGGGGAAAATTAGAAATAACAACTTTGTCTGCAATCAAAAAGAAACTATATGTTTTTTTTTAATACAGTAAAAATGTGAGCAAGTGTCTGGAAGATGTGTAATCTCATGTCTCTGCCTGTAGGTGGCAGTCATTTAATGTCTGCTGTACAGTACAATGAACGCATGATCTGGTGGTGAACTTTAAAAAACTAAATGTTGTATTTTCAGGGGGACACTTTCCAGAGTAAGAGGAGTGGATACACATCATGAGCTTAGAGACAGTAGTTTAAATATCTCCCAGGACCAAGGCAACAGCAATGTGAAGGCAGTGCAGAGTTACACTGTGTTATATCCCACATTTTATACACAATTCACACACAGCACAATAAACATGAAACAACATTTAGATAGGGAAAAGAAATACCACTGTCTAATCTATGTTTCTTTTTTAAAATGCTCACTAACTGCCTTAATTATTGATCACAACATTTGATCATTTAGAATACACATTCAAAATCAAGTCAATCTGGAAGCGAGTGCAAGTGTAGGTCAGAGAGCTAAGGAGACCAAATAAAGAGACTGTTTGACATGAGGATAAAAACAGGCCAAGAACAGTCACTTCCACATCTAAGAAGTAACAGAAGCTGAAAGAGATGTGGTATTATATAAGTGAGGTTTTTGAAAGATATTTACCACCTCCCCTCAGCTGGATAAGCCCCTTGTTTATTCATGAGCTTGTAACCTATAAATAAATTGCTGTAGTCTCAAAACAGTGGGTGAATATGGATGAGCACCTTTAATTCTAAGGATGTAGAAAACCAAAGAAGTCAAACACAGTCGTAGACAGGTGGAAGTCGAGTGTGCTGCGATGTGGGAGTTTAATATACGACTTCCTGCCAACAGCTAGTGAGCTATACAACTTAATATCATAATAACATGCGATCTACTTTAACTGTCAGCTGCCACTAAAGCGAATTATTAATCTTTAACAATTAAGGTCTATCACTGCAACTTTAATCAACTGTCTTAGACACAGTATAGTACAGTATCCATTGATACAACACTGCCTGAGCAGCTATTTAGGACGTCTTTAATACTTAGCAGTGAATGTTTGTAGTTTGTTAGCTAAATATCTTAAGCTATCTTAAGCTGGTTAGCGCATTATTCTTCTCTACAAACTCATAACTTCAAATAACATTAGCTAGAGTAGACACATTAGGTACATTACTGTATTTAACTGATCTACTTTGTTGTTAGGAAACAACAACTTAACAACAACGGCTTTAAACCTAGCTAGCAAAGGCGAATTACAACAACTACAGAGGTTAACTAGGCTAACATTTTGCAAGCTAACATTTAGAGTGTTACCGTTCATTCATCACTTCACTGACAGACACAAAATCCCCATATACAACAAGCTAATCTTTAACAGCACATTAGCAAACTAGGGTTTAATGTTAGCATTCTATATTTTCCAAATATCTTTCTCAAAGACTGAAGCTAAATTATGTCAGCCCTGGTAATACCTGAACATTTCACTCTTTGTGTGGTTTTCTTGGATTTACACAGAAGATACTGGTACCCTTTTATTCTGAGCATTAAGGAGTTAAATGAAGTGTATAAGTAGTAGTCTGTTTGCTTTTAGACTTTTGTGGCAGAAAAAGGAAGTGACATCTATTTCTGGGGCTTTTCTTACAGCCTCCATCATTTCTCCATGATCCCACATGATGGCAGCAACTTTAGCAAACTGATGCAACTGCAATGCCTTGACTAGATGTCACATGTCACACCTCCTCGGTTACAAATTAGGCGAAATAGGATACACTACCTCATATGTGACACCACCATCAGTGCCTGCGTCCCAGGGAATGAGGTCTGTCACCAGCCTCTGCACCCAGCCACACTCCTTGGTACAGAGGTCCTCTCCTGACAGCCCCACGTTCCAATCTGGACTGGGCCCGAGCATGGTGAGGAAGGACATCAGGTGACGGGTCCGGTCCACAGAAAACTCTGCTGATGGAGCTGCTCGCCTGGCAACAGTGACGGGGAAAGATAATTAAAAAAAAGAGCAAAAGAGAAGAATCCTGAGTATTATTTTAATGAGTGAGCCCTAATTGTGTTTTTGACATAATCATCTCAGGAGAAACATTTTACAGTTCACCTCCAATGTCACGACCTCTGACCCGAGTCACACTCTGCTAATTGCTGGATAATTGAAGCTCCGAAATATCCAATTAGAGGCAGAAAATAGCTCATAATGAGATTTTGCATGTATAAAACCCACTGAATATAATAATGTATTGTGAATATAATAATAAGCTAATTTGAAATTTCTTTGCAGAAAACTGTCTTTGGGATCTTAATTATAATGTCTTAACCAAACCATACCATAAATGCAAAAATAAATCTGTTAGAACAACTTGACAACTTTGCATGCAAAATTGAACAAAATGAGCAAGTATTTCATACTCACACTGTGAGTGTGTGACTGTGTGGGTGCGCACGTATGTGTGTGAATGTTCTCATTAGTAAAAATAATAGTGGCACAATATATTGCAAATGACAGACAACGCTAGGAGGGGTAATTAAACAGATGTTTGGTGAAAGATACAGTACATTAGTGTGTGTGTGTGTGTGTGTGTGTGTGTGTGTGTGTGTGTGTGTGTGTGTGTGTGTGTGTGTGTGTGTGTCCATGCTCTGCTGAGGGCTAGAATAGTGATAAGTTTCTAATTGCTCTTGAACTAATTCCAAAGAGTGCACACGATGCCAGAGTGTGCGACTATTCAGAGAAGTATTCCTGGCTTTAAAGAGGTGTATAAATGAAGGAATCCTGAACCAATTAAGAATAAATTTATTAAAATTCATACAATACTATCAGAATTTTTAATTATAATTTACATTTCATTTATTGGGCCAGAAATTAAACTTTTTCAGACTTTTCCTGCTAATTTAGAATTTCATATGCGCATAATGAGGATGTAGATGTAGTGATTAATGTAGAAGTCGCATTTTCATAGATGTCTCTAAAAAAGTAATAAAATATTTGTCTGTTATTGTTTCGGTTGATCATCTTTAATATCCTACATTATATAAATATAGTGTTTTTCTTATATTATAAATACACAGTATTTTATATCTTTGTTTACTTCATGACACACAGATTATGTTATGCTTTATAAATAAATCTAGAATAATCTTGGCTTGAAGGAAAGCTCAGGCAGCTTCTCAACAACAACAAAAAAAAGGCATATTGTTTTGTGGGCCTCCAAAATATCAACAAGACAGAAAATCAGCCTTGTTTTTTAGCTTGGCCACCAGACCAAAACTCTTAATAAACCCAAGGTTATGCAGTTGCCTAAACTTATTTTCTTAACTCAATGCTGCTAAAAAACATGACGAAAACAACACACACATGATGAATATCTCACGTGTGATTTAAAGTCAAATTGAAATTTGAATTTGCCTCTTTTTTGTGGTCAAAAATATAAAGTAATAAGATTTTGCAGCTACATTGCATCTTTTTTTGCATCTTTTTGCAAAAAAAGATCAAATTTGTGGAAATACACTTAAACTCATGGTCTCTGGGTCTGTTTCCAATGGCAGCATTTGACTGACATCTGAAAACTGGCGTTGCTAGGGGACGCGCTGTCATCGTCTGTGGTGCACTAAGAGATACGAGGGGGCTTTCCATTGTACTAATTACGCTTCCTTCCTTCCTCTCTCCTCCATCCTCCGGCCTGTGACTCGGAAACTGATCTAAGTCCGCCATCATCAAGGATGTGCCAATCCCTCAAATGTGTTCTCGGAGGAGGGGCGGGGAGCCATGTCTACCAAACTGGCATTTGACGATGCGTACAGTTCACGATGCTGGGCTCGACATCGTTAAGACTGTCAGCCGCTGGTGATATTATCTCGGAGGAGAGAAAGAGAGAAGAGAGAGGAGGAACCACAGGTGTATCCTATATGGAAGATTTTTTACCAGGTGGCAACATCCCTTTGATCGGACTCTGTGATTGGTCAGCTCATCTCTTTTCTTAGTCTCCAATCGAAGTGCACAGGCCCGTTCAGGACACAGATTTACAGTCCCATATAGATGGACTGTCGTGGTTATTATTATTACTCCTGAGCCTGAAAAGGATATCAGACTTATTGTACCTGTGGTCTTTCACAAACTAATTAGACTATAGATTTTATTTGGAATATTTACAGCTGTTTTTATTGCTCCCTCAAGTCCATTCTGTTTTGTCTATTTGTGTTATTTCTATCAGTCACATTATATGACAACCTGACTCAGCTTATACAGTATTTGTGTTAATATTGAAGCTGTCAGTCCCTTTACAACACACTGGGGGCTGTGGCTCAAAGGCAGAGCCGGTTGTTCACTAATCTGAAGTTCAGTGGTGCGATTCCTGGATCCTCCTGTCTGCATGTCAAAGTGTCCTTGGGCAAGATGTATCATCTGTGAGTGAGTGTGTGCATGTGGTAGAAAAAGTGTTGTATGAAAGTGTGAGTGACCGGGTGAATGTAGCTTGTGGTATAAAGCGCTTTGAGTGGATGATAAGACTAGAAAAGCGTTAGTGCATTGACCTTTCATACTGTAAGGTTTGTATTCGACTTGGAGAGTGGAGGCTAGTTAGCCAAGCTTGCTAATGTTAGCACTGACTCCCACTACTAGACGTTACTTTTGTTTCACCTGCAGCTCCTGCCCAAATGATAAGACGAAGGAGGTCTAGCTAGTGTTAGCCGCTCCATGTCAAGGGCCAAGATGTGGTGATGGTAAATGACCAAAATTCACATAAGCACCATGAATGGAATCATGACATGGAACGACATGGTAGGTGGGTAAATGGGAATAAGGAACAGCTAACAGCTAACAGCTAACAGCAACAGCTAACAGCTAACAGCAACAGCGTCAGCATCCAAACTAGCTAACTCTGTGGAGGTGTTGAAATTTAAATGATATGATTATATGTGCACACCCACATTCATACTGATCCAATCAAATTACCAGTACTAACAAAATTATTCATGAACCCTGGAGACGACAGAAAAATAAATAAAACTTAAATTTCTACTTTTTGGTAATTACAGTTGCAACTAAATGAATACAAACAAACACCAAGAATATATAAATACTAAATAAAAGTATTTTAATTTCAATTCGACTGCTTCTGTTTCACATTTTATTCCATTTTAATTTTCAATCATGTCCCTCACAGATGTGCCTGTTCCCTTTAGTAAAACTGACACTGAGTGATACTTACAGGTTGAGCGGCTGCCACGCTGGCCACTGAGCCTTAGTTTTAATGACAGTCAGTACCTCATCTCCCTGTGGAGAGAGAGAGAGAGAGAGAGAGACAGAGAGACAGAGAGAGAGAGAGAGAGAGAGAGACAGAGAGCGATGTAAGAAGTAATTTGTCACTAAATGGATGACTATAAAGAGAAAAGAAAAAAAACATTGACAGAGAAAAGACCGAAATTGACAAATTGACATGACCGAGGGTGAGTACTCTCATCCAGGGACAGCAAAGTGTATTCCACTTTTCAAAGGCTTAAGAACCTGGACAAAGTGTCTCTTATCAGGACAAATAGGCTCTGTGCTGTTTTATAATAGCCGTCTCTCATTCTGGTGAGGAGCCTCATTCTGCACGCCACACAGCACCCACCACTCTCTATAGTCTCTCTGTAGCATTACAGCCACTTTATGGACTCACCAACGCATTTATCTATCATAATGCATCGGATGTAATTATTCCAGCCAAAAGCAGGAAGACAAATGATGGATTTAGTTTGGTGCAGCAGCTGATTAGAACTGAATTGGAAAGTCCAAATGTGCCCTTTCTAGTTTAATAAGAGCCTTTATTGTGTTTTCTCCACTTCTTCTTTTTGTCTCTTTCTCTTTTAAACACACACACACACACACACCTACAAACACACACACACACACACACACAACCACAAACAACAGCCTCAGTTTGGGAAATGCCAGGAAAAAAATCCTTTTTTTCTGGTTGACTGAAGATTCCAGAGTCGCCTTGAAAGCCTGCTCTCTTCCCTGGGGCGGTGTGGAGAAAACAAGTGTGTATGTGTGTGTGCGTGTGTTGGCGGGTGGTTGGGTGAGTGTCTGCGTGTGTATTTGTGTGTTAGTGTTCGTGTGTGTGTGTGTGTGTGTGTGTGTGTGTGTGTGTGGGGATGAAAACAAGTTTACAAGTCAATGTCCATCTTCTCTTCAGACCAGCCTGGGGTTCTGTGGCCTCTCTGGCCTCAGACCACACTCCATCCTCTCATATACACAAACAATCCCACACACACACACACACACACACACACAAAAAGGTGGACACACACAGACAGATTTGTATCTGAATGTAGACAGCCAGAGGGACAGAAACACACAAGCTGGCATGGATAATTTATATTGTTTCTTGATTAAAACGCTGAGAAAGAAACTGAAACAGCAGAAACTGCGACCGAAGTAACTACCAGTCAAAAATATGACAAAGAGCTACAAAATGAAACGCAAAGAAATGTGATTTGCATCTTGCACTGCCTGTACTTTATGTATTCATGAACTACAAGTGAGACAAAAGTTTTATTGTCTTCATGGGCTCTAACTCACCCACACAGATCAATACTCTCTCACGCACACAGATCATCCAGCGGTCGAGCTGATCGGAGATCAGATAACTGCCACAGCCTTGTATTGGATTGTATGTGCAGAAATTGCCGGAGCTGTTGTTTCCTGTTGCTTTAATGAGACATACAAAAACGGCTCACTTCATTGTGTTTCTACTGTAACTTCAGCTGCTGTACGGAGGAGACAGAACACGGATGTGTAAAGAAAAACAGACAGTGAGAGGGTGTTTCCACAGACTGCTTACTGATATAGCTACACCGTGGGAGGTGTAAGGATTACGTACTTGTCTTGGAGATAATGATACATGCATGCCTTTTCAACATCTGGCTAGCGTGCAGCTCAAATATCCTCCCTAGGCGGTCAGGGAGCGATCAGATTTCAAACCATCTCAAATGTTTCCGGATGCACGGAGGCATCTGCCCACGACACATGAAGTGACTACGTGTAAACGGGGTCGTGCCAGAAGGGACATCAGATCAGAAAACGCACATATGGCGCAGTCTGGAAAGTTATAACAAACAACTTTTACAGATGTTAAAAGCCATGCCAAATGAACTTTATATTTAGTTCCCACTCCAGCACAAGCTTCGTCAAGAAACCCTGGGCAAGAAATCTCCACACCTGAGGAAAAATAGTTAAACATCAAGATTTGAAAAGTTAATTATCGACACCAGGAGTGTTCAATATTGATTTACTCCAATAAACAAAAGGGCTGTCGACACCAAGAACAGTAACTGTAAATATATCGTTTTAAAAATCGTTTTAACTCTAAAACTATAACAGCGGTTAAACGATATTGTCCTGCTGTACGACAAGGTAAAGCATGTTCAACGTGGCAGACGACATTAGGGAGTGTCATCACTGAGGTTAAAAACAAACAAACAAACAGTATTTATAAAGACGCTAACGAGAAGAAGGACATCTGGGATGCAATCATCGGGCTCACCCCTCAGAATCAGCGGTGAGTGTTTTGTGTTTTGCTCCGACGCAGCTGGAGCGCGCGCAGTGCGTGCTTGGCACTACACTGTTTACAGAATGCTATCGGTCACCAGCGTGGATGTTCGCATCGTTACCGTTACGGTTGTCGTTATGGTTATTGTTCTTGGTGTGGACGGCACTTTAATCCTGTACAATCACAGTATAATGAAAGAAGTCTGTTATACATTAGTACAACAGGATCCATCAACACAACACAGTAAACTGCAAATCAGCCAGAATTGAGTCATTTTGCTATGCAGATTAAAATACTCAAGTATAGGCCACTTAATTTTGTCATTGTGATGCACTACATATTCAAATCGCAGTTAGACGCGACTAAACACTTTACCCGCAATTGCTCATGTTTTTCCAACCTTGATAGCTCAAATGCACGAAAGCCAATTGTTACACTTTTCCAGATAAACATGTTGAAAGGACAAAAATGTTCGAGGTAATTGTCTCGATCATTCTTTCACTCCATTCGCCATCTGCCGCCACCAGCAAATCTCAATGCTTTGGTTCAATCTAGACTAAAAGAAGAGCATCTTATTCCTGTGAAACAGCCCTGCACATTTTATGGCAGCCCTCAGCCGGTATCAGATAATGCACAATGCTTCGTGGAGGCCGGTAGGAGATGCAAATCTTCCTGTAATGGCTTTGTTTGTTTATGGTAATTATTGTAATGGCACAAAATAACTGTGATTTACCAATGTTTAAAGGCACATTACATTTTCAGGAATGATTTCGAGGAGAAGAGAAAGAGAAGGAGAGAGGGAGAGGGAGGTGGAGGGATAGAAGGTGGTCAGGTAAGAACAAAAACAAGACGAGGTACAAAGTATATGGCTGGACAGTGTATGAGAATGTGCAGGGGGCGCTTTGTGTTTGTCAGTATCATGATGGCGCTACTTGGCCAAAACACTTACTTATAAACTTCAATACTCAATAGAGAATAATCTGAAAATGCAACAGCACAACATGCTGTCGACGTAAAAAGAAATGGGCTCTTGTCACAGGAACACAAGCGCTGACAGTGAAAGTCCATTTCTGATTTATTGTTGTTTGCACAACAGACTGTTTCTGTTAGTCAAACTGGCCCATCAGGAGCACAGTGAGAAATCCTGGTGGGCCGGTTACACATTCATTGAGAGCGTGTTTCAGGACTGGGCTCACATTTTATCATCAACCGTCACCGATGCAGCCCGAACAGCCACAGACAAACAGAGCATATTAGTAATAAAGACCTGCCTCTAACACAAGCCCAACTCAAATAAAGGCATGAAGGCATGTTATCATCTGCAGCTGAGGTGAATACAGGCCACAGTCACTTTGGAGGAAACACAATAGTTAAAAAACTGTTGTGCATCCACCGTAAACACCTCCTGATGACGCAATGGAAACTCTTGGCCCCAAATAATAATAACGGCCAATTAGAAAAGTACGACCAATAACGATATCACTCACTCACTCACTCACTCACTCACTCATGGACATTTGTATACGTAGCGCTGGCTCAAGGCCGGTCCAGCCAAAACGGAACAGAAAAAGAGGAGAGGAGGAAGAAGAGAAACAAGACGTGAGACAGGGAAAGTGATTTATGAAAAGACAAAGGGTAGAAAGAAAAAGATGAAAAAGTTCAAATAAAGACAGAGGAAGAGACCACACAATGAGAAAGGGACTGGGGTGGATTGGTAACCGGGGGAGACACAACTGAGAGAGACAGAGGGGAAAAATTACAACAAAGCACTTAATGGAAGGAGAGAGTAACAATCTGTAGAAGGAGAGAGGTTAAAAAAGGAGCAGAGAGAAAGAGCAGGGGTTAGAAGAGACGTGGGCGCACACACACACACACACGCACACACACACACACACACTCGATGATAACGCTTCCTTCACTCCCTCCCTCCTTTTCCTTTCTGTAAGTCCTTCCAGTCTTTTATTGCTGCCTCTTACTCTTTTCTTTTTTTCATTTTCTTTCTTTGAGCCCTTCAACTGCACATAAACCAATATCCAACCTGAACCTGAATTCTAATTATTATAATTAAGGGATGATTAGGTGATTAATTGATTGAACAATTCTGCTTTTAATTTATGAAGAAAAATACTGATTAAAAAAAAAATGACGGCTCCAGCTTTTCAAATTTGAGAATTTGCATTTTTATTTTCAGTTTTATAACACTATAAATAACAGTCTGTAAACGAGTGGTGTAATTATTTGTGGGAGAACATCGGGGTTAATTGAATTCCCAGAGTCTTGTCATCACAGAGATGTTGCCAGGGGCAGAAGTGCTGGCCCAAAGAATAAAATGCTGTTCGCCAAATGTGAAGGAGTCACCACAATCATTAGAAGTCATTATGGTGGCACTGTGGATATGTGCACTGAATTTCATGACAATCCATCCAATAGTTGTTGAGCTATTTCAGTCTGGGCCAAAGAAGTGGAACAACTAACAGATCCACAAACAGACACTGTCATACATATAGAAGCACAATGTTAGCATGACTGAAAATCTGTAAATTCATCATTAATGAGAATTATCAAAGGTGTCATATTGTAAACAATGAGATTTACATGTCTTTTCTGATCATAAAGCAGGTGAAAGTATCAAAGCCTCAGTCCACAGAGAAACACACACAGCCTGTATTCAGACACTGAGCCTTAAAACGAGCCGTCAGGACTTCTGTAACTTTGTGATGTCACAACAAAGCAGCCACGA